CTTTATCAAACATGTAACATCATATGGAATAAAAAAAAGGTAGTTTTAAAGGTTTAAACATTAATAGTTAGAGTTCATTACTAGATTAGCAGAAATTAAACCACTTATATCACTGAAAATAATGTTTATTCAACATGATTCAACATTAAGGTTTCATTTGAAAGGAAGTAAAGGTTGATTTGGTAAAATAAAAGGTGTTTTTCAAGTTATTTTTTTGCAGGAATTGTACAGGAAATTTGTTTTTGTCAGTAAAAGGTATTTATTATCTCAATAAACAATGATTAAATATCATTAATTCTGTATTGGTCATGTTTCTCCTGCAGAGCTAGTTGTTCACTTTAATGTTCTTTACAATCTTTTGTATCCCCTTAATTCCCTGATAGTGTAAGGCAGCCTTTTCTTTTTTTTCTTTAAATTGGAGAGCCAAACCAAAACAAACAATCCAGCTAAATCGTTAAGCGTGTGTCCAGTGGTTTCCAGTAGAAAAGGGCAGCACAATTAGCATCGAATTGTTGGCATTTCCTACCTCCTGCTCCCTCTGGAAGACAACCACTCTTCCTCCTTTATCCCCAGTGGCCAACAGCTCCCCTGTTGAGTTAAACTCCACCGTAGAGATAATGTCAGCTGCAACACAGGAAGCAGAGCAGAGAGACGGAGAAAATGTCAATGCGGACATGTGCAAACACTTAAAAAAAACAAAATACAGGAAGACCTAGGGTAGAGAATTCTAGGAAACTGTTCGTTTGACGAAACCACGTGGGAATATTTGACACAGAAACCCAGTTTAATGGAATATGGGTTACAAGAAAGCAGCGGATGAGTCACTGCTTGATAATTCAGCCTTGTGTTTTGGTTAAAGTGAAACAATCGGTGCAATTTTTAACTGTACTCCTGAGTTTTGCTTTTCCTTTGGTTGCGGTTGCTATGTTCCTCTTGCTATAACAGTTCGTCCTGCTTTGGTTCTGGTATCTGATCCAAACCTCATTAGGCCGTCTGTGTGTCTTTACATACCCATAGATTTACCAAAAAGTAAACGACAGACACCTACCCTTCAGGTAGCATCTCCTCTCCTCCTCACTGACATACATCTGCCTGGCTTTAGGAGAGGCTAATGGTGACTGTAATTACTGCACAGCCTGGGGCTAAAAAAGGCAGAGCATTGTCTCTCCCTCTCACACACACACACACACACACACATTGAAGGTAGTCCTTAACGGTGACAATAATATCAGACAAAAAATGAGAGCGTTTGTTGTTTTGCACCCCCTCCCCACGCCCTCTGTGGACCTGCTGCTGGTGGAGCTCCAAGCAGGAGAGGGGGATGTTTCCATGGTGACCGTTTCCATCGGTAGCAGCAGAGTATATGCGAGTGTGTCTGTGCCAATAGCTCTCAGACTTAGTTGCTGATGCTAGCTGTAATTCAGCAGACACAGAGGGAAAGAGGAAAGTGCTGCAATGGAGTGAAAAAACCTTCCTGCATTTCTGGGGGAGTGAAGAGCGATTCACTGCAGAGCAGCTCCAGACAATAGAGACGCTCAAAGCGGATGTGCATGCTGGAAAAAAGAACTAAGTGTGTTATTTTTACAAAGATGTGTGAGTTTTTGAGCCTGTCTTACTTCAGGTATTTGTTGGAGAGACACTCAAAGATGAGGCCAGTGGGATCCTGTCAATAATAACATAACATGTAGACGACTACTACTATTTCATTAAAGAAACCTTTCTCTTTTATTTGATTTTTTCTTTACATGCAACACAAATTCTAATGAATAACAAATAAGGACAAATAAAAAAAAATCAAAACTAATGCTATGTAATAATTAGCATTTTAAACCCATCGCTAGTAGCCTTGTGAGACCATCCTGATCTCGCGAGCTTTCAAGGTTTCACTCGCTAATCAGTCTGGAGACTCTCCGTTAAAGAAAATTTGGAGCCGTTCACCAAACGAACGTCCAATCAGCGTTGGCTTTGACGCGAGTTGAGGTGTGACGCAACGAGAAGCGCGACAGTTCAGTCTAAAGAACATGAAACTAGCGTTAGCGTGGCTATCGAGCAAGTTTTATCGGAATTACAGAGTATTTCTTCACTGAAAGA